GGGCTGGTGTCTCTAGGTCTTGAAAAGCGTTGGAAACGATTCCTAGATGGAGAGGAAATCCTCACTCTACAATCTCGTTGAATGTGTTCAAGCTTATGGCAACGGTTACATTCTAATCGGTTTCTCGGTGTTGGGATTTGTCTGGAGTCGTTTCCCGTTTTTTTGCCTTCTAGTATTAGTTTATTTATTTCCTCCATAAAATTATTCATAACATTCTCGAAACTACCATCCTCTTTTGACGATTCTTTATCCTTTGGGTCTTCAATGGACATTGCCTGTATTTTGGGTCGTGAGGCACCAAAGATTGCTTCCAGTTCCAATGCTCGGACAAGGGCTCCGCTACCTTGTCTGAATTTAGACATTCTCAGGTTTTCCTAGATACTACCATCCATTCCTGCATGACTTCCCAAGCTGCAGGAAACGCCAAACTCACTAGCCTTTTAACTTCCGATCCGAATTGCTGTAAACTCTCGCCAGGTTTTTGAATTCTTGATTTATCTCGAGTCCTAAATACTTCTTGCCTGTAATGGTCTCCAGAACGCAATTCTAACGTCTGACTTAGTGTTGTAACTTTTTCTTGATCATCACATTTGTTGGTATTTGCAGCAGCTTCAAATTGTCGGATATACATGGTCCAGGACGTAGAACCGTCAAAGTTGGTGGTTTTATCTTCATACTAGAGAATGCTCCAGCACTACCTGGATTGATGAACTGTATTTCTAATTTATTCACCCTATCTTCAAGTGTTTGAACTTGGTCCTCAACTTCTTTTCTTAATTGCTGAACATCGTCTTTAACTTCTTGAACATTGTCTTTAACTTCTCGAACACCGTCTTCAACTTCTTGAACATCTTCTTTAACTTCGGCTTTGATTTTCCTAATCTTTTGTTTCAGGTTAGCGACAGATCCTTGTATGGTTTGAAATATTTTCTGCGTCTTGTTTTTCTTGTTGTAGTTTAGCCTCTTTTTGTTGTCGTCTAGCTTCTTCTTGTTATTCTTTTTGTCGCCTAGCCTCTTGGTTTTGTTCTTCTTGTTGTCGTTTGGTCTCTTGAAGTCTCTAGAAGTTCTTCAACTTTTTGTTTTTCCATTTTTGCTTGTTGTTTCGTAATAGGCATGTACAGAATGTTCTAGAATCTCCCTCAAACTCTCTTCACATACCTCTCCTGGTCTTTAATTGAAGTTCCAAACAACTCGGTGAAGTCACAAATTGAACAACTTCCTTTATTCTCGAATAGAATAATGTTCTAGAATTTTCTTGAAATGTCTTTCCTGAATGTTGATAAAGCAAGCACGTCGGTCAAAAATTCGATATCTCCCTTGGTTTCCAAATAGAATTTTTTAGAACTTATATTACTTGAAGATTCACTATCACAGTCAATCGGGTATGCGGTCACTTCCGGGGTAATTTACACAATCGGTTATGTTTCTTTTTGTGATTGTCACTGCTTACACTGACTAATTGTCCTAGTGTTCACTTAGTGTCCGAAATAGTGTCCACACTACTCTGCAATCGGATTTCACTATGCAATCTCCGAATCATATCACTTCTGACACCAATGTCACGGCTCTGAGGGGCGTGACATAAATCTTGGGTTCGTTTATTCCAGAAACAAAGTCCAATTAACACAACAATAATTTATTCCACGTTACTACACACTCTGACACTAATTAACTCAAACAACTTAACTATTTATAACTCATACAATAATCACAATCTAAAACGTATTATAGCCAATCTTAAACTAGAAACTACTAACTAATGACGGCCTCTATACATATATCCGTAATCCATTCTTGTAAAATCCAGAATAAACGCAGCAGCAGCAATGTGCTTGTCCGGGTAAGGCAGTATTTTCTAGATTTCAAATGAGATTCTGTACACATGGCGAAAGCGCACCGCAGTATACTGTATCATTTTAAATGGTTTCCAGTCCAGTAACTTCTATTGAATCATGAGTAACGAATTCTGTGAGGAGTTTAGGTAGACATCTTAGAAACATCTCTGAGCTGTCCACAAACGACATGATCAATACCTTGAATACGCTTACGCGTTCATCATTCACATCTTAAAATATGAGTATTATCTTTCTAGTACATAAACCATTATTCACTTTTAGGCCCGGTTGTACCAAATAGTGTGGCTCAGTTGTCTTTGAAATGTGAATTAACGACGTTTTACGGACGTGTTTTTTTGGTCTTCAGATGTTCACGCAATGCAGACCTAAAAAGCTATCTTTGAGACTGGGAAAGTCATTAATTTTTGACGTGTACTGTGACATTTGCACTATAAAAACAAGTACATAGGATATTCTAAAAGACCTTCTTCGACCTCTATGAGACGTTTAAAGTTGTGACATTTGCACTCGAGAAAAACGCTCATTGGACCCAAATCGACCAGATTGGCTTTCATCACGAAATTTCTAATTGAATTTATCTTCAAAAAGGTCATGCGACTTTTCGAAACAAAGGAGATTCTTCATCAGGCAGGAAGGGTTGATTGAATTCTTGCTGTACAGGTTGAAATATAAATCAATCCAGCATTTTATATTTTCTAGTCATGTTTTTTTTCTATAGCAATAATCTGAATACCTAAATAATCAGAATGCCGCACCATTTTTCGACAATTCACAGGGGAAAATTTGCCTTTACATGTTATATTCAGGCCTGGGCCTCTGCATCGTTTTGTCAGAATCCGACGGAATATTGTGAGTTGCGGGTTTTTTTTTCTCTTGCGGAAGAAGAAAACGTGCATATGTCGGGCATTTATATAAATCGTCTGGAAACGGTTTATATCCCCAAAGAGGCATGCGCTCCAAGGTCCCCTTATTGCGAATAGGGACACGTTTTTTTTTTTAGAAGTGTCGCAACATGATGAAGAATATTTTATTTGTCGAGAGGTCCTATTAGAATTTACATGAAGTATTGCAAATTCAAAAAATTGAGTATCCCATTTGTTTTTCTCATAAATATAAATTTGTCATCAATTGGCATATGCTAGAACGGGAATCGTCCTAAAACTTTCAAAGCCCCAGCAACCGCTACCGTTATAGAGATATCATGCATATTAATAACCCCCAAACCCTTAAACTTTCCCTGGAAATTAACTTTGTTTTGCGGAAAACTTATTTCTGACTAATTTTCTAGCGTACCGGCTCTTGGGAAATAGAAACTACACAGAGACAGAGTTTACAATTAGATACAAACTGCACATATATGAAATTACTTATGCAATTAACGTTAGTTGTGTAGCTGGAGCCCACCTTTTTGAGAGTTAATTTGGAGCGCAATAAATTTTAAAGGTAATTTTGCTGGGGTTTTCGTTTTTTTTTTTTGGCCTCTCGGAGGGGGTATTTAAACCATTTGTTATACGTTTACTGAATTCTTACCCTACACGAATAATATCCTTTTCCATTATATCCATTATCGAACTATCTGAGGCATAGCATAGCATCATTGCCGCATAGCGTCGTGAAATCAATGGCAGTTTTATTTCTTTTTTTTTTTCAGTTAAACTTTTATGTCAAACAAAATTTTAGCATTAAGCTCTTGTCGCCAATTATAAAAGGTTTTGCTGTGGAGTAATTTTAAATTTTCACTTCTTTGGATTTATTATTGCGTTACCTACTGTGTATGGAAAGATCTTCAAAATAAACACACTTTTAACTCTGTAATCTCGACTGTGATAAATGTGTCACGTACATGTTGAATGCGAAGAGGGACATTCAATTAAATTTTTGTAATTTGGAGTGGTAATTTATAGTGTCTCATTTTTCCAAGTATCTCAATACAATAATTATTAGATATCGTTAAAGTATAAATTCTTATTTCAATAAGGGTTGTGCTTTGACTTTACATTTCGGAAATATCGTTAAGCGTTATTTTCCAAGTAAAGGAAAATTGATAGTTTGGAGAACGAAAGCTAAAATGAGAAAACCCAAAACAAAGTAGTGTGTATCTATTTCTTTTCGCCTGGAGCAGTCAGCTTATTTTTCGCTTGCCTTAGCTAAAATTACTATAGTTTATTAGATGAGGTTTTGCATATTTTACGATTTTTCTTCAAATACATACAACCAAAGTTTGATTGAATTTTTACGACACAAATATAGGCACAAAATATCCGCAATGTAAATTGTGTGTTTGGGCGCAATAGGTACGGCATATCCGCAAAGCGCATATGTAACTATTTGCTTGCAATGTAAAGGCCTGTATGTTTTACTGATTAATATCCCATGTAGGTGTTCACCAGGATCAGAAGACACACATTTGGATTTGATTTCACTCAAAACTCGCTTAAATCGAAGTCATTCCTAGCAGCGACAAACACAATGGGAAAACCAACCCCGAAAGCCACATCAAAAGAAACCACTAAAGTTATCTTTATTTTAGCTTTGAGTAAAAGACGAGCTCGGCGCAAATTATAATGTATTACATTAGCTGGTATGCAACAGGGGTTTCTACTTTGCTTTACCTACATGTTTTAATGAAGGTTTATGTTTCGGATACAAAGTTGAAAAAGATGAAAAGTAAACATTTTAACGGGTACATTAAAGCATTTTCGAGTTGATACAGCTGAAAGGGTTGTTTTTTTTTTCTGATAGTAGCTTGAAAAAATTATTAAGCACTAGTAAATCCTCACAAACTGAGTGTTTCCTAAAACATGAAACACCATGTAGGATCATTTAATCCATTCAACAAAACATTTAACAATTTGATCTAAAATATGAACAATTCACAACGGAAAAAACTAATTCAAATAAAATTGGATCGTGACGATATTCTAGGGCCAGATTGTGTGCATTTCAGTTTTTTTTTTTGTTGCGTCGAATTTGAGTCTCAGTAATTAGTGTAACTTTACAAACAATTTTAAAACATGGTGGCAATTGTATTGTTCTGCGAACGAATTTTTGTTTTTAATTTCCATTTAAATGGAATTATTGGTATATATTTATTGTTTTGTTTTATTTTAAATTGTTTTCTCTAAAAATTATTATTATTTTCAGCATCATAATCAAATAGACGCGGATATTTATAACGCATTAGCTGATCAAGGTGCAAAAGTGCTAGCATATCCTCCTCAAGAATTGAAGCATTATGGCAGAAGTTCGGTGAGTGTTCATTACTATACAAATTTACAATAAAGCTAACACAAATAAACTATTTGGATTATATGGTTATATTTTTCTAAAAACACTACAGAGACGTGGTTGATATTGCACTGCACTTGACAACGTCCGATCAACGCCAATATCAGACGTCTACTGAACATCGGATAAGAATCGCATGCTTAGGTCGTATGTATTTACTTTGACCGAAAATTCAAGGCACAAATCAAATTTTTACAAAATATAACCACGGATGAAGTCAAAATTCAGTCGGAACTCTGGAAAATACTACTTTAGTTGTCTTTATACAATAGACCTCTTGCACTCAATCGAAATTAGGTATTTAATTTATCTGAAACGAAAGTGTATTACTACATAAAAGTATGGTGGGCTAATTTTTTTTTTTAAATCTTGAAGCCAGGAATTGAAAGAAAAAAAAATGGCAAATTATTTGAATTTTGCGCCATATTTTGCACCAATCAAAAATCAGTGATAGCCAAATTTTCATGTTTCAAACGGATCTCTTTTTTTCCTTTTCTAACACATCGAACAAAAAAGGGGGCATATATATCAAAAAAGCTTGGTGTATCGACAGGTACAGCCCTACTTTTGACATGAAAAATAGAACGACACTTAATGAAGTTTCGACAATTTTATTTCCTTGTCTAAATACGAATTAGACGAAGAGATCCGTACCTGTACTAATCCGGCACAGTATAATGTACGAAAACGATAAAAGGGATTTTTCATGACTTTTGTTTACTATAAAGCCTTGTACTCATAACTGCGAAATTCGCATTTTTTTGACATTACTTCGACAATTTGACGTTTTATGCGTGAATCAAACGTCAAATTGTCGAAGCAATGTCAAAAAATGCGAATTTCGCAGTTATGAGTACTAGACTTTAGGGGAGATTATTCAAAAACCAATAAATGGTTCCGAAAGGTAATGTTGAAATTATCCAAGACCCAAGCAAAGGCAAAATTATTTACATAATAAAATATGTAGAAATTTGAAGGAAAGGTTCTTGAGTTCAATACTCACTGCTATTAGATACCTGGAAGTCTTTCTAAAGTAAACAAGAGGCCGGAGTTACCATGAGTGTAATTTTAAGAAAAAAGAAAAAGGATGTTTTTGCCTGTGAAAATGTAAAAAGTTGTTCTTAGAGAAACTGGTATCGAATACAGACACATAAAAATTATACTCGTGTTTTATTTCCCAAACCACTTAAAAGACAAATAACAATAATTTTAATTATTGTTTATTTTGTTTGTGATGGAGAAAGGGTTTGTAAAAGCCGACCGAGGTAGGTATTAGTAAAATGCAGGTAGAGCATTTATATATATTTATTATAGGCACACACTAGAAAATGAGTATTTAATTATGAACAATGACTGTGGAAAAATGTCCACAGTTATCGATTCCAGTTTTCGATTGTCGATTCGATTTGAGTTACAGAATAAACCCGAATAGCCTTATGGGGTTATGCTCGGAGTTATGGTTTGTTGCTTGATGGTTTGTGCATTGGATTTGTGTGCCTTCTGCCTGTTTTGAAGATTTGCACAGACTAATAAATAAGAATAAATAATGATTTTAATGAATTAACAGGTTGGGTTAAGTTTTTCATAGGGATGAGAAGAATCACACTATGAGTGTCCGGAAAATAACGTAGAAGCTCTTCACTACGTGGTGGAGGACCCCTCAAGGAACCCCAGAAAAATAATTTAAAAAATCTGGTGGCATTCTTACAAAAGTTATTAACATTTTAATGTTTAATAAAATTGGCAACACTGAAAATATCCCGTTGACATTACCTGAAAAATTCTAAGGTAACTAAAAAAAGTTGTCAGATCAATTTTTTCTGTTGTATAATTTAGAGATTTTGCAATTTTCATAATGCGATTTGAAGGTTTACATCAAATTTCAATAAACCATCATGTATTCAAGTAACAAAAGATACCGAACACTTTGCACAAAATAGGTATTGCAATTTGGAAAAAAAATCAAAAATAAGGAAGTTGAATTTCCACATTTACCTCTTTATATTTCCAAGAAGAGCAGGCCGAGGAAATACAGACGGAATGTTCACAGATTTTGAGGAAAGCAAAACCTCCAAAATCCAACATTACAAGGAAGGAACCCGTGCCATCAAAGAGCTTAACAAAGACGAGAACATTCTGTTAGCCGCAGACAAAGGAAACGCGACTATAGTTATGAACAAAATTGGCTATAACAGAAAGACGGCCGAACTTCTAGAACCTTCAACTTACAAAAAGCTGAGAAGAAATCCAACACAATCCGCAATGAAAAAAGTAAACCACCTGATTAGGATTTCTTCTTTGGAGCAACCAATCAAGAAAAGCATACGCCAAAGTGAAGCCTCAATACCTAGATTATACGGATTATCTAAAATCCATAAGAAAGATGTACCTCTTCGTCCCATTGTCAGTACCATAGGCTCACCGACATACACCCTCGCAAAACATCTGGCCACGATCTTGCAAACGCACATCGGACTAACGAATTCGTATATGAAGGACTGCGCTCACTTCATAGAGAAGATCAGAAACTTCGAACTGGACGAAAACGACATTCTAGTAAGCTTCGATGTTGTCTCCCTGTTCACCAAAGTACCACTGTGTGAAGCAATGAGTGAGGTCGAACATATATTTTCCAAAGACATCGCTGACCTGTTTAGGATTTGCCTTACGACATCGTATTTCACCTTCAATAACGAAATATATGAAAATTTCGACGGTGTTTCAATGGGAAGTCCGCTATCACCAGTAATCGCGAACTTCTTCATGAAAAAACTAGAAAAGAAAGCCTTGGGCAGCGCACGTTTAAAACCAAAAGCCTGGTATCGATATGTGGATGACACTTTTGTGGTTTGGCCCTATGGTAGGGATAACCTGAACGATGTCCTAGCTTATACTAACAGCATACACCCCAGTATCCAATTTACCATGGAACTAGAGGACAACGGAAAACTGGCTTTTCTGGATGTCCTAGTCAGGAGAAAATAGAGACAACTAGGACACACTGTGTACAGAAAACCTTCACACACGAATCGTTACCTACATTATATCAGTTCCAACCCAAGGGCAGTTTAAACGGGTGGTAGAGGGGGTAATTACCGCCCCTAGACTAAGATTTTTTGCATTGAAGGCCTTGTATAAATATCAAGATAAATATGATAGGCTCACCAGTACCGACGTACCTACTACTATACAGTGAAATAAAGGGTACCTACCTATTCCATTTGGAAAAAAATGAGCTATCTTGTTTGAAATGTCTGCTTTGTGTACAATATTGCGATAACACCATGTAGATTGTTATCAAATTTTTATAGGACCATGAATTAAATGTAAGTATGCACTAACAACGATTTAGCCTATAGGATCTCGAATGAAATAATATGTTGGTTTTTGTTGACACATGCAAACTGCGATTTTTTGAAAAAATTCAAAATATTTTAAAAACGGTTGAGTTTTAGTATAGGTAATTCCTAACAAAAATTATGTAGGATTTTTGGAACGATCCATTAATGTACTAAAATAAAAAGTGTTCCATTTGAAATAGGTAACAAAGTTCTGTCGTATACCCCATTTACGGAGCACCCTGTATATTCAAAAATATTTTCAACTAATGCACCTTAGAATATCAAACAACTTTGCATTTTTTTTTTCATCACGCTGTAAGGAGATATCGTCCGATATCGCACTAAGTGGACACCCTGTATAACTATTTTGACAGCATCGGGATACATTTTTGCCCGAGGCATGTTTTCTAAACGACTTTCGGGTGCAAATTTGTGCGTGGCACCCCAAAAAAAATTACCTACGTTGTGCAACTTGATGATTTTCCCGTCATCCATTACCCATGCCAATGGAGAGGAGTAATGAAAACTTTGGTAGAGAGAGTTAGAAGCATCTGCGAGCCCGAACACCTAGACGAGGAACTAAGTCACCCTAAAGGCGCTCTTATATCAAATGGAAATGGATAGATACGCTGAAAAAGACATAGACAATTGTATACGACCAAAGCCTAGTTTCAGAAACGTTGAACGAGATAGCCGTGACATCATTTCAAAAGCCTTTCTACCTTATGTACCTCAAGTCACAGATAGTATCGGCCGAATTCTGGGAAAATATAACATCAAAACTTTTTTCAAACCATCCAAGAAAATCGAGAACCACCTCAGATCTGCCAAGGATAAGAGAGATCCACTGATCTCTACAGGTATATATTGCATTCCCTGGACCTGTGGAAGTGTCTACATTGGAACACAAGGCCAATTGCCGCCTTGAACACACAAAAATCAGCGGTCGCAGAACACACACTAAACAATGAAAACCACAGAATAAAATTTGGGGACACCCAAGTTTTATGCACCACTGCTTCATATTATCCTAGGCTCTATAGAGAGGCGATTGAAATTCACAAACACCAACAAAATTTTAACACGAGTAGACCTTCAGTCTTCAATCAGTCGCTTAGCAAGCAACATCTCCTGAAGATGTCATCCACTCGTGATGGTGAAACGTCCAGAACCGATCTCCAACGACGGCGGCCGAACAGCCCGAAAACCCACTCATCAAGTTTGGTAATGTCTGATTAAACAGAAAAACTGTAAATTACGGATCACGATTTTCATGAAATTGAAATATACATATGTATAATATATGTATAGAGGGTGACAATTTGAAACGTAGCAATCAGGAATATCTCTTAGACAAAAAATACTCAGGAAGATCTCAAATACGTATCGGGGGATTGGAAGGGGAACCAAAATGAGGCACTTTTTGAGTCACCCCGCCTCACCCCTTAGGGGGTAGCTACCCCAACTTTTTTTTTCAAATACGAACCTACCTTGTGTTGGACATCGTTTGATAGCTTGTTGCTATTCCTTTACAGTCATATAGCAAAATCTTAAATAGGACGATTAGTTTTTGAGATACCGGTGTTTGAAAGTGAGCATATTTTGGAAACTAGCAATTTT